CAAGCCTCAGGAGCTCGGACAGTGTAGCACTGAGCCAGAGAAAGGTGCACCCAGGGGAGACAGGGACATGGGACATGGCAGGTGGGAGGGAGCCCTAGGTGCAGGAGGCGGGAGGACCTCTGGGTAGAGGGTAGGGACTATCAGGGCCGTGTTTATTCTGAAGGCAAGCTCTGGGCTGCCCTTTCCCTTAAAAATGACTCAATGAACAGACAAGACAGCCATGCTGCACCAACCACGGCAGCACACTGTGACCCAGGGTGGTGACATATCCTGTCCTACACACCTGAGGTCCAAACCAGGTCCACCCTGCAAGTCTCTCTTCTGAGAGCCACCCCATGGTCACAGTAGCTTGGGTCCAGCAGGTGCCAGGGAAATACCCACTAAGTGGACAGGAACCACAGTCCCCTTCACACCAAGATGGCCTGCAGCAAAGGCAAGCCCCACCCAGCCAGAGGGGAGGCTCGAGGGAGAAAGCGCTGGCAGAGGAGACCCCAATCCACCCTGTGTCAGTAAGAGGTGCCGTGCTGCCGGGAGAGGCCCTGCTGGCCCAGGAGCGTCAACAGGTCTCGGGCTACCTGAGCCGGCACGTTCCCTCAGGCACCTGCAACAGGGCAGGTTCGAGCAATTCCCCCTCCTGTTTTTGTTCAAATGCTTTCTTTTTGGAAACCCACATGGAGAGAGTGCAATTTAGGTTACGTTGGTGAAGAAAAATGAGCGTGGAGTCTCTGTCTTCTAATTATACAGAATTTAGGACAAAATATTCATGTGATTCTGAAATACTTGATAAATAGGTCATAATAGGCTCGTTCTGTTGCCAAAATTCCTCACACGCAACGACAGTGGACGCTCTGCACAGAGCTGGCCACCAACAGGCAGCCCTGGAGGGTGGGACGCGGTGCCCGCCGAGACCCTGCTCCAGGGCTTTCCAAGCCAACTGTAGGGCTGGTCCCCATCGACCTGGGCCACAGAATCCAAAGCCGTGGGACGGAATCTGGCTTCGGCAGGTGTGGAGGTACCCGGTGCCACCTGGCCTGCCGCCGTCCGAATGGCAAGGACACACAGAGGCTGAAGGAAGCCCACCCAGCTGCGAAGGAGAGGTCCCCGGACGACGCGGATGAGCCATCTCCCCGCAGAGCAGGGCGGGCAACTCGCTCGACTCTCTCTAACCCGCAGTTAAGTCGTCAGTCATTAAAACACACCGCCTAACCCAGGGGAACCACACTTATTTGTCAATTAAGCCGGCGGCTGGTGGCAGTGAGGCTGGCCCCCTCCCCTGGTGCGTGGGTCCCTGCAGAGGTGGCCCCACCCAGGGCGCAGAGCCAGCCAAGCTCGGGAGGTCTGCGAGCCAGCCTGGCGCACAGCATGGGGACGAGTGGCTGGCCTCAACGGGCTCTCCTCGGACACACCTGGGTGCCCTCAACATCTGTGCCTGGCCCTCAGCCAAGTGTGGGGACCCGCACATGAGGAGGCCCCTGCCCCGTGGAGCCTGAAGCTGAGCGAGGGGGTGGCAGCCACTCCAGTCCTCAGCGCCACCTGGGACTTCCTCAGGGTCCCCAGCTGGCTGCAGAGCGTGGGGGGGCCGCAGGCTTCCCCAGGGAGCCTCCACCCCTGTCCAGGCCTCCCTGCTGGGCCTCCCTCAATTGAGGGTCTAAGGCAGGAAGCCCGAGTTCCTGACACAGCAGCAGGGATCAGTTTTTTAAGCCCCAAGGAGACAAGGCAAGATGAAGAGGGGCCTCACAGTCCCACACTGGACCCCACGGCGGAGACGGGGGCACGGGGGGAGGGAACTGGCTCCACCAGCCAGTCCAGGTTCTGGCCCTCTCCAGTTGGTTCTGGGACCCTCACAGGGAAGCCTCGCTGACGCCTGTCCTCACCTGGCCGCTCTCCCTGCAGTGGCCGCTCTCCACCCCCTTGGTCCCGGCCCTGCCGTTCTCCACTCCCCCCACCAGGCCACCAAAGTGAGTCCAACACCAGGCACCAGAAAGCACCCAGCCTGGGTCACCCCCTCCTGAGATGTTGCTCCTGGTCCACCCCACCCCAGGTCAGCAGAGGCCTCGCCCACCCTGCACCTGCTGGGCTCTCTGCACAAGGCCAGGTCTCCCGCTGTCTGGAAGACACAGGAGGCCAGCGTGGAAAGTCACCGTGAGTTCTCCCAGTGGCCCAGCCAAAGCCCACCAGGAAGAATCAGGCTCCAGGACCCCTGTATGTGTCCCCAGGGAACAGCCCCAGGAAACCCAGCAAGTCGTCATGGGCGTGAGCACTCACCCCCCAGGTCTCCAGCCTCCCTACCCAAGGCTGTGCTCAACGCCCACGGCTCAGCGACCCAGGGCGGCACAGGGCTTCGAACCTGCAGCCCCACCGCTCTCTGGCTATGCGGCCTCAGAGAAGGTCCTCATCTCTATGAACCAGCCTCGCTAACATCAAGGATTCAAATGAGTTGATGGGTCTCCCCCTCAGTACACACCCTGCGCCACATACCGGGGAGTATCTTGGAAGGGCTCTGGGGAGCAGCTTGCAGGATCAGGTGGGGAGTCAACAGCAGTACAGAGGGGTGCTGAATGGGGGTCTCCGAGAGGGCCGACAGAGGTGGGGCCCCCAGGCTCCTGGAGCCATGGTCCAGGAGCTGTGGTGGGACCCTCGGGGGTGCACATGGCACAGGGTAGTCACCAGAAACCTGAGCACAAGCAGAGCTGGGATCCACCCGAGGCCCGGGGCTAACTGGGAAGACAGCACTGGCCTTTGAAACACACACACCCAAGAGCCCGGGGGAGGGCGGGGCATGGCCCTGCAGAAAGCTGAAGGGGGACCTCAGACGCCCACTTCCTCATCTGCAAAGTGGGGACTGGGTCCTGTGCCACCCTCTACATTCCTGTCCCCCTGCAGGTGCTCATGGGACACTCTGCTCACTCTCCTGGGGCCAACTTCAGGCAGCCCTCCCAGTGCCCCCACCAAGCCACCTGCCCTTGGACCCCCTGAGACAGAGACCCTGGCATCCAGGGCTCAGTGCCTTCAAGGAAGCTCCACGGAGGCAGCTAGAGGGACAGGACATCTGGACAAGGTCTCCCAGCTCTGGAAGGCTCTCTCCCTGCAGCAACAGGGGTCCTGCTCCACCCAGCAGACCCCGGGGCTGCCTCTGATGGTCACTGGCTGCGCAGCACCACAGACACAGCCCAAGTGGCACAACAGCCCCAAGTGGTCACCCTCAGGCTGGCACCTCACACAACGACATCTGAGCACCTGGGAGCACAGACCTCGCTCTGCAGGGGAAGGGAGGAGGCTGGGAGAGGCTGGGTCACCAGCCCAGACCCCACAGTGACACGTGACTTGGAGGCAGGAAGGCTCTGGCTCTAGCCCAGCCAGGACCTGGTGGCTCTGCTAGCCCCGTCCAGCACCACGCTCACGTCCACATCCCCAAGCGGGGGCTGGTCCAAGTGAGGTGGGGCTCCAGGGAGCCGGGCTGCGGGACCCCAGGGGTGGGAGAAGGGAGCTACGAGGGGCCTGGGGCAGACTCGGGCAGGAGTCCAGAGGAGAGGGCCGGGCAGCCCGCAGTGGAGGACACAGCCATCCCAGCCCCATCTTAAGAGAGCCCATTCTCCAAATGCAGCCCCCGCCCAAGTGGCCGCAGAAGACAGGGGCAGGGCCTTTTAAAAGCCTGGAAGAGGGGCTGGCCAGAGGCCATGTTCCCGTTCTCTTGTCTAACAGCCTGGCCAGCCCTGCCCGGCCCCAAAGACGTCGATAGAAAGAGGGCACTTGCCCCCAGCAGGCGTGTCCCTCACCAGCTGGCACACACTGACCTCCTGAGGCCTGCATGCTTCTGCCCTGGCCCCCAGGGCCCAGCCCACGTGCTTCCCCAGCGCCAACAGATGGAGGAGGGGTGGACAGAGGGGCCGTAGGGGATCTGAGTCCTGTCACCTGCTGGCCTGAGGTTCCTGGGTGTCCAGTGCAGGTGGGGATGCTGGGCGGCCACCAGGACTCCCAGGCCTGCCCCTCACTCCTCCCCACCCTGTCTGGCAGCAGGTGGGCTGTGACACAGTCCTAGATGTCCAGCGTAGAGGGGACGGCCCAGGGGGAGCCCCACCTGCCTGCCCTGCCTGAGCCTGACTGGACACCACGCTCCTATCCCGCTCCTCCTGTGCCCCACGGCCTCTGCCCCCTCCTGTGAGGAGAGTGAGGCTGCCACAGGGTGTGACCCTCAGGCCCTTGTCCCCACCCCCACCCTGCCACTGCCCAAGCTGCTGGCAGTTAGGGTTCACTTCCCCTCTGCACACGTGGGCCCCTGCCCCCAGGCCAGCCACCAGTAACGTCCTCTTTTGATTCTCCCACCACACCTGCAAGGTGGCCACCCCTGCCCTGGGCCATCCCTCCCATCACTGTCCCCCCTGACAGCTGAGCTCAGGACAGGGTGGAACGTGTGAAGGGATCCCGTCCCCTGCTGTTGAACAACACGTCACCTTTCTTCCTGACCGGGCCTGGGGAGCGCCCGCCTGTGCTGCTCCAGGCCAGGACGGAGCCCCAGGGCAGGGTGACCTGGGCCGACTCCATTCTCCCTTGTCTGGCCCCTGACCATGCCCTCAGGTCAAACAGGAGAGTTGATACACAAGCCGACCATGAGGCCAGCACAGGACCCCAGCGGACACGTCCAGAGGGCTCTCAGGGGTGCACACAGCACGGGCAGCTCCCAAGCCCCAGGCAAGCGTCCCTCTGGACACTGGGCTTCCTGCAAGGCCTCCCCACCTCCGCCCCAGCACAGGAGCCTCAGCCCCACCTGCTGGATGGACCCGTGTCAATGACCCCACACCCGCTCTGTCTGCTCTGCCTCTGGCTCAGCTGAGAGGGCAGGCCCTGGCCAGAGCCTGGCCACCCTGTCAGGGCTGCCCCGAACAGGAGCAACCGGCTCAATAACAAACAGCTCACCGCCAGCAGCTGGTGGCCTTGGTGGCAGCTCCCAGGTGTCAGCTGTCCTTAGGGGTCAGCTCTTCTGGAAACGTCTGGGCTTTGTGACACTGAAGGTGTGTGTCTTCCTTCAACCAATCAGGTCCTTCAGAACTGTAGATGCCACACTGCCTGCCCAGGGGCCATGGCTGGTGCACGTCCTCCTGACCAGTGGATCCCAAGCACCCCTGAGGGCGGCCTCCGTCCCCTCCCTGGCTGTAGGCAGAGGATGGAGGCAGCGGGCCTCCCTGTCCAGCCACACACCTGGGCTGCTTTTCCAGGCAGCCAGGCAGGAGTGCCCCACTCCACATGCCCTGGGCAGTTACTGGGCAGCAGGCAGCTAGAGGACAGGACATCTGGACAAGGTCTCCCAGCTCTGGAAGGCTCTCTCCCTGCAGCAACAGGGTCCTGCTCCACCCAGCAGACCCTGGGGGCTGCCTCTGATGGTCACTGGCTGGGCAGCACCACAGACACAGCCCAAGTGGCACAACAGCCCCAAGCGGTCACCCTCAGGCTGGCACCTCACACGACATCTGAGCACCTGAGAGCACGGACCTCGCTCTGCAGGGGAACGGAGGGTGTGACCCTCAGGCCCTTGTCCCCACTCAGGGAGCCCTCCCTGCCCCCCTGGGTCAGCGCCTCCCCATCCCAGAGCCCACAGCTCTCTCCACTTCCCACTGACCAGGTCTTCCTCCCACCACGGGCTCTCCGAGGGCACAGGGACAGAGCAGAACACAGCAGTCCTCGGTAAACTCGAGAGACCAGGGATCAGGATCGGGCAGCTGGAGAGCTGGGGGGTGGACAGATGGAGCAAGGGTCCTCAGCCAAAGGAGCCTCCCCTCCACAGCAGAGGTTCACCGACAGCGGGTGGACATGGGCTCCTCTCAGATCCCAAGACAGCACCACCAACACGCCCTCAGCAGGCGCAGGCCTCCCCCCGCGGGAGGTCAAAGTGCACGCCCCCTGCACCCCCCACCTCGCTCCAGCCCATTAAAGGTTGGTGCCTCCCAAGGCGCTCAGAGATCTGCCCATGTCAATGGCCAACAGGTGCCCAGGTGCTGGACCGGCCTGCTGAGCCCTGCTGGCATCCCCCACGGTGCTGCCTCACCTTCTCTGAACAGGGCTGCAGCACAGAGAAGCCGCGCCATCAGCTGCTCTTCCAGCTGCTCAGGTGGCCACTCACGGAGCACCCTCACACCAGCCAGCCTGCCACCCACTGGGCCACAGGGTCTCCCTGTGCCCAGCTCCACCACTCTGCCTGGTTCTGCTCCCACCTGCTGGACCAGCTCTGCTCCAAAACCCCCACACCCTCCCCAGGGCTCCAGCTGCTGGGGACCTCAGCCTGGCCAGGGCGCATGCCACTGAGCCCCCGTACAGGAACAGACACGAGTCGCGGAGGGCAGCAGAGAAGGTGCTGGCCCAGTCCTCTTTCCCCACACAGCCTCCAAATCATCCCGGGCACAAATGGCATTCCTTGGAAAAGCGGGCAGGTGAGCCACCGTCCCCCGTTTCAAAGACTGCCCCCTACTAAGGTGGCAAGTTCAGAGGCAGAGGGGAGACAGAGCCTGCCAGGGTCAGAGTCCTACACACTCGGAGCTCTGAAGCACCCACTGCACCCAGGCTCCTCCCTGACCGAGCGGGCCGGACTGCCAGGAGGCTTCAAAGTCAGCCACTCGCAGGGTTCAAAGGGATGCAGGGTCAGTGCCCATGCCACAGCCAGGCAGGCTGGGCACAGCAGGCAAGTCCTGCTTCTGTGGCCTCCCCCTGTTCCTCTCCCTCCACCCCAGCACCATCTCAGGGAGGCAGCTCTGCAGGACACTGTGGTCACGTGTGCAGGAGCCTGACCCACACATGCCCGCTGCACCCCAGTCAGTCTCCCACTGCATGGACACTGGCATTGACCGATTAATCGATAAATGGGTGGCTAGTGGAGGGAGACTGGTTCCCCACTGCTGGGACGGAGAGGGACTCATCAGCAAGAGGAGGGGACAGGAATGATCCCGGGGTGACCGAATCTGAGTCCCACATCACATGAACTCACGTGCCCTCACCACAGGTAGAGTCACATAAGGAAGTGGCCATGGACACCAGCAGGCCTGTGGTGCCAGTGTCCCCCGTGTTCCTTGCTCTGCCAGCTGGAGGTCCAGAACCACCAAACCCACACCCAGGTCTGGGTGTCTGATACTGTTCTCCACCAAAAGGAAACAGGGCCCCCTGGAGAAGTGGCTGGTTCCTGGGCAGCTCCTGTAGGGCCAGGGAGCACCCACAGTGATGGGGTTTCCAAGGGACCCAGCGGCCAGAACAGAAGAATCAGCAACAAAATAAATAAAGCGCAATTATACTGTAACCTAAAGTGTAAAGTAAGTAACAGTGAATCCACAGCAGAAGCCATCGGAGGTTGAATAAACGGGCTGAAGGGAAGTCTCCCACAGGCACCATTTCAAAGAGTTCACCTCCTCAGCCCCAGGAGGCGAAGCAGAGCCCCACCCTCACCAGGCTGCAAGGACTTCCCTCCAAAGAGTAGGAACCGAGCCAGGTGTGGTGGCACACACCTGCAGTCCCACAGCTCAGGAGGCTGAGGCAGGAGGATGGCAAGTTCAAACCTCAGCAACTTAGCAAGGCCCTAAGCAACTCAGCAAGATGATATTTTTTTAAAATATTTTTTTAGTTGTCAATGAACCTTTATTTGTGTTTATGTTTATGTGGTGCTGAGAACCGAACCCAGTGCCTCACACATGCTAGCCAAGCGCTCTACCACGGAGCCATAACCCCAGCCTGTGAGACGCTATTTCTAAATAGAAATATGAAAAAGGGCTAGGGATGCGGCTCGGTGGTGAAGCACCCCAGGTTCAATCCCTGTTAACAACAACACCAAAAAGTAGAAATGGAGGAATGGGAGGGCTGCAGGGGGGACCCACGTGGCATCACAGCGATGAGTCATGGTGACCGCAGGTGACCCGCCTGGTGTGACAGAAAGGCCCTTCCCTCTGTGATCTCCCCACAAACCAGCACCCCAGATCAACAGAGGAAGTCTAAGGGCCCAGACAAACTCCAGCGGAGGGGGTCCTGCGGTGTCAGGGTCCTCACAAGTAAGAAAGGTCTGGCAGGTACAGGCCACACCTGCGAGGCCCAGGCAGGAGGAAGGCAAGTTCGAGCCCAGCCTCAGTAATTTAGAGGCCCAATCTCCAAAGAAAACTAATAAAAAGGGCTGGGTGTGGCTCAGGGACGGGGCCTTGCCAGCACTTGGGAGCCTGGGTTCCAGCCCCAGCGCTGCAAGAAGATAAGAGCAAAACCAAGAAGTCTGAGAGGCTGTCAAGCCAAGAGCCAGCTAAGGACACGCGGAGACGATTGTCATGTGGACCTGGGTGGGGTCGTGGACAGAAAAGGACACTGGGGAACCTGAGGAAGCCTGGGTGAGCTCTGGGTGCTGTTAATAGTAGATGGACACGGACAAGGACACCAACAGGAGGGGCTAATGGGACCATAAAGGGTGGGGGCGAGAGGGACCAGGAGCTCTGACATCAGCTCTGAGACCCCCTGTGAACCTCAGGCTCCTTCAGCAACTGCAGTCTATCCAAACAAAACCGCGGCGCTCAGTGCAGGGCAGGTGGATGGGCTCCGGCTCCGGGCCAGCTCTACCTGAGCATCCAGGCACCACAGCCTGCGCTGACCTGCCCTGGGGCCCCAGATCTTTGCAATAAAGGAGGACGTGAAGGGACAGAGAGGGTGGGCTGGAGGACACACTCTAGGGCAGCGGCGAGAGCCCTAGGGACCCCTCCACAGGTCCCCTCCCTCAGGTGCAGACACTGGGCCGTGTACACCTGCCAAATGCTGTCCCCAACAACTCAGGCATCAGAAGTGAAGGAGGAGCATGGGGCTGGGAGAGCCCGGAAGGCTTCCTGGAGGTGACACAAATGACATCAGGGAGGTGGCTGGCAAGGCTCCCGGTGCCTGCGTCTCAGGGAGCTCCACAGCCACGCCGAGGGCAGGCACTCCGACCCCTGGTGCCAGGGAAAGTGGCCCAGGGCCACTGGGTGCAGAGGAGCTGCCACCCTTCACCAGAGCACAACCTTGTCACCACTGTTGCAGCATCCACAAGAGGGACCTGGCACAAAAGGCCATAGGCCAGGTGACCTCAGTCATGCCGAGCTAGAAGGTGGCTGCCCCGTGCTGGGGGAAGAGGCAGAGGCGCGGGGTGCACTCAAAAGTTTCCTTCTAGGGTGATGGAAACCTCTGAAACCAGACCGTGGCACTGGGTGTTCAAGACCTGAACTGGACACTCAAGTGAGCACGCCCGTTGCAGGTAGGCGACACCTGAGCAAAGCTGTTCAAAGAACACACTCACTGGGCGTGGTGGCCACCACACCTGCAATCCCAGAGGCCCAGGAGGCCAGCCCCAGCAACTCACCAAGACCCTAGGAACTTAGTGAGACTCTGTCTCCAAGTAAAAAGTGAAAAGCCAGAGCGCCAGGCCCCTCAGCCGACCGCCCAGCTCAGACTCAGGTGCGCTCCAGAGCCACGGTCCCGGGAACTGAGGCTGCTTCCCTGAAGCCAGGGCTGCAGCGACCCAGGGGGCAGAGCAAGGTGCCCACACAATGCCACTCAGGTCACAGGGAAATGATGCTGAACAGGCAGGAGGGCCCCTGGCCTCTGAGAGCAGTCCCCCATAAGGCCGAGGCAGGAGGGGTGTGCAGGCGGGGGCTGGGACTGCCATGCCCAACCCCGAGGGAACACCACCCCAGAGCGCCAGGCCCCACCCAAGGGACAGGCAGAAGCAGAGGCCCAGTCCACCCATATCAAGGAACCCACCAGGAAGGGCCAAGCGTCCCCAGAGCCCTCCTTCCACGGTGGCCCTGGACAGTCTCCAAGCACATTCGGTCTCTCCACCATTGGTGGCACACGGAGCTGGGTGGGGCCTCCCTTCCTAGAGACAGGAACAACCCCAGAGCACCGTGCTTCAGTCTCCTGGTGGCCCCGTGCTTGGCCCCCACTTCACAGAGGACATGGACACTGAGGGGGGACAGGTGTCATCCCAGGGCCCTGCGTCTCAGCGAGCCCCACACAGCCACGCCAAGGGCAAGGACACTGGGAACCTGGGGAATCTGAGTGAACTTTGGATTCTGTTAATGATAGATGGACACGGTCCCTGTGGGCAGCCCACACTGCCCGGCTCAGCACCAGACGAGGCCACACTCTGGGGACAGGCGGCTGCTCAGCAGACCTCCTCCTCCAGTGGGGGCAATGCAGACCTGTCACCAGAGCCCAGGGGCCAGCCCCCAGGTTCCGGCTCCCAGTCCAGGCCAGGTCCTTTTTCACAGTGACTGACCTGAGGCCTACAGAGGCTAAGCATGCTGGGGGAAAAAAGAGCAGCCAGACGAAGACATTCCCCTGACCACCCTGCTCAAGGGCCTGGGGCAGGGGCAGCGCCCACCAGGGCAGACTCGGCTCACTCTGGGCCTCAGGAAGTGACCCAATTCCACTCTGCTGGGCCATCCTTATCTGTCAAAGGGAGCCCCCTACAGCACCCCTCCTGGTCACATGAAGATAAATCATGCCAAGTGCCCAGCATGCCCTGTGCCCTGTGCCCTGGGTGAGAGATGCCGTCACAGCTTGCTGTCACTGCAGGCTGGGAGTGGAGGGTGCTCCAGCACACCTGACCCCAGCACGCAGCTGAACCTCCCCAGGGGGTCACCAGCAAGACTGTCGGCTGCAGTGGTGACCAGCACAGCCCTTGGGGCCGAAAGACCAAGTTCAAACCCCACTCAGGCACTTGGGCGAGCTGCCCCACCCGCTGTGCCTCGGCTTCCTCATCTGGAGACCAGGGAGAAGTGTCTGTGGTGGGGACTTCCTGGGACAGTCGTGTAAAGCACTCAGCGCCTACCTGGCTGCATCCAGAGTGAATGCCAGCACTGTGATTGCTTTTTAATAGGCCAACACTGCCTCTCTTCCTGTGCGACCGCAGGGGACTTTAATCACAGGGATTAAGCATAAGAGAACCCTGGTAATAACTCCAATGGCAGAACTCCCCCAAAGGCCTCGGCATGGCAAATGCCATTAGTGGTGAATTACAGCCAGCAGTCCCCACCCAGCCTTCTGCATGGCCCCACGGACACAGAAGTGAAAAGAATACGGCCGTCTCCACCCAGGGAAGGCTGTCTACACCCAGGGAAGGCCATCTCCACCCAGGGAAGGCACCTACACCCGGGGAAGGCCGTCTCCACCCAGGGAAGGCGCCTACACCCGGGGAAGGCCATCTACACCCGGGGAAGGCCGTCTACACCCGGGGAAGGCCGCCTACACCCAGGGAAGGCCGTCTACACCCAGGGAAGGCCGTCTACACCCAGGGAAGGCCGTCTACCCCAGGGAAGGCTGTCTACACCCAGGGAAGGCTGTCTACACCCACGGAAACCTCTCTTTCTTCATGCCTGTCTGTAAGGGAAGTCTGAGCACCCT